TCTACACTCCGGCCCACCTAGAGAAGCCCTGGATTCTCCCAACCTCCTCGCACTCTGACCCCAGGCTGCCAGCCCCTCAAGGCCATCCCCAGGCAGTCAGCTCACAGACTCCCAGTCATGCCATTCAACATGCCTCTAAACTCTCCTCCAAAGTCCTCAGAGGTGATTTTGCCTATTTCACTGGAAACAAAGAAGCCATTGTCCCTCCTGCCACCAAACCTGTGGACCCAACCCACTGTACCTTCCCTGCCAGGTGGCCTGGGCCCATTCAGGCAGCCTTTCCCTGAGCTCTTTGCTCAGGTGTGCAGGTGACACCTAACGGTGGGTGGGCCACCCTCCCTTGTGCATGTGCCCCTCAGGCACCTGCTGTGCTGACCTACCTTCCAGCTGTCTCACCCATTCCAGCTCATCTCCATCAGAGAGATAATCAAGCTCCCTGTCTGGAAAAACCCTTTCTGGCCCTTTGACTCCTCTAGTTGCCCCCATCTCTCTCTTTCCCTTCAGAATGAATCTTCTTTAGAGAGTCTTCTACCTTCTCTGTCTCACCCTCGCTTACTGCTCAGCCACTGCCAGCGGCTTCTGCCCCCACCACACACTAAACCTGCTCCCTCAGAGGCTCCAGGGGCCTTCCTGTCAATAATCCCAGGGACCATCTTATCCTTACCCTGCTGTCCCCCTCTCGCCACCCTGCATCACTCCCAATTCTGTCACTTCCCAGTGCTGTTGAGGTGGGGAGGGCTCAGACAGATCTGCTTGCAGTCAGTCCTGATGGCATCACTTCCTGGATGCATAAACTCAGCCTCCCTGAGACTCAGTTTTCTCCATCTGTAAAATGGGGATAATAATAGTACTTGCCTCATAGGCTCATTATGAGAATTAAACTAATTAACCCATGAAAAGAACTTAGTGCCTGGCATTTACTAAGTGCCACTCAGTAAAAGTGAACTATTAGTCTTTACCTTAATCCAGATTCTCCATCCCCACCAGAATCAACCTAGTTCAGCCTTTTCACCATCTATGGTCCAGAGAACTCCCCCATCCCTCCCCGGCCACTCTGCGTCCTGCCTCTTTCTGGCCTTTCCCCGCGCAGTAGCGAGGCTGGGCTTCCTGGACCCAAACCTTCAGTTTGGCTGTGTAGTCCTCCTCCTAGCCTGAAGCCTAAACTTCCTTCTCCTACAAACGTCAAGATCTACAGTAGCACTATACTGGATTTTCTCTGCTACAGTACAACACAAAGTCAGGACTTCTGGAGAAACACTTACAGGAATGTTCAGCCTTCATCACTTTAAAATTCACTGTGCTTTAAAATTCCCTCAAAAAGCCCATTTACTTGGAAAAAATAGAGGTCTGTCTCTTAAAGAAATCATACTTTTGGGGTGTACAGGTCCCCAAAACTTTTATACAGAATGTAACACCGAGCCACAGTTGAGTAGTCAAGAAGCCCTGGGTCTCTGAGTCCCAGAACCGCAACTGCCCAACAGGAGTTTTTTGATCAGAATGTCTTAAATGTCATGTGAATCACCTGAGGATCTTGTCAAAATGCAAGTTTTGATTCAGAAAGCCTGGGCTGAGACCTCAGGGTCTGCACGCAACCCATCCCCAGGTGACGTTGAAACTGCTGCCCCGAGGTCCCAGCTGAGAGTACCGAGGTTTTGGTCTGTCTCTCCCCACAAGACTGTTTCCTAAGCACAAGGCCATGTCCGTTTCTCTCTGTCTGCACACGGCAAGTACTTACATATGTTTGTTGAATGGATTGTGCCTTAGAGGGTACCTGGTCCTAAGTGGCCTCATTTCACTCGTGCCTTTGAGACACTCGCATTTTGCGGATGCTCTTGGTCCAGATCCTGGAGCCTGGGCCTGGCCCATGGCCGAACAGGAAGCCGTGTGTTTGGCTACAGGCATTATTTTCACAGCACTGCCCCATGTCACAGCCTCTTCACTTGCCTCCTCTGCAGCCACATCCTGATCCTTGTCTTACCAGATCAGCACCTGCTCAGAAGCCTGAAACACCCAAATTCCCCTGCCTCAGCACAGCCTGCCCCACACCGATGGCGTCACAACGCATCCTGACCCTGGCTTTTCCATCCTTTCTCTCTTCTTGTCCCCATCAGGTTTAGTCATCTCACAGAATTCTTCCCCACATCTCTGTCACCCTCACCCCTTTACCAAAACCCCTGCCCTGAACCTGTGTCAGGGCCTGACAGCCCCAAGGGGCAGGGGCCCCCACCCACCTGGTTTTCCTGCTTCCTCTCTGGCTGCTGTTTCTCTGGTCTTTGTAGCCTTCCCCAGGTCAGTTCTTGCCCTCTTCCCTGCTCTGCACTGGGCCTGCACTTGCCAAACCCAGGTTCCAGCACAGAGTGGGATCCAGACCCCGAAATGCCACTCTGTCCTCTGGTCTCTGGCTCCAAACACCGGTCTGAAACTAGGGAGTTGCCCTCTTCTCTTCCCTCCCCTCACCGCTCAGACCTTGCCAATTCCATCATCTAAACATCCTCAGGCCAGCCCTCTCCTCCTCTGACAGTTTCTTCAAGGATCCCTACCCCCAAGCCCTTGAACCCAGCTCCTCTGTGCTACCTGAGGGTCTGGCCAGCACCAGCAGCCAGCCCTCTACCAGGGCTAAGATCTCACAATACAGGGCAGAGTAGGGCTATGCTGGTATTGGACCAATGAAAGAATGGGCATCTGGTGCTTGAGTTCCATCTACCACCCACTGGGAATAGAAAGTGTCAAGGAGAAGCTGCCCAAAGCCAATGAGGCAAACCACTGGGGGCTTAACTCTAGTAACTCAGTGTTTGGAGGGGTATCAAGAGGTGTGCTTCTCAGGGGACAAGCTCACACGTGGATGGTTAGCTGTGTGACAGGCTGCTGGACAAACTCTTATCTGTTCCAGTGGGCCTTTACCTGGCCACCCATGCTGGACCAGGCCATGCCAGGTGGGTGGGCAGCAGAGGGTCAGGGCTGTCCACTGGATGGCAAGACCAGGTCTTACTGAGCAGGTCTGAGGGAGTTCAGAGTCGGATGGCCCCTCATCTGTCAGGGAGGTCTCCTCTCCCACCCCGACTCTTCCCAGTGGCCAGCCAATCTCATAGCCCCCTTGGCCAGATGAGGAGATTCATTCTCAGTAATTTATTTTCCAAGTTTCACTGCCCTCAAGTACTAGAAAGTGATGAATAAGTCTGCGGTTTGCTATGGAGGTTCCATGTAAGATAAAGAATCTTCCTATGACCGCCCCCTTCATCGTGGTTGTTGGCCTGTTGCTGCTGCACATAAAAGGCAGGAGGCTGCCTTGAACACTTCAGAGCACCACGAAGGACCAGGACAAGCAGAATGCACCTTGCTCGTCCAAGAATTAGCAGCCTCCCCGTCCTGCACCTTGTCCTGCTCCTGCTGGCACACCATATCACTCAGGCACAGGGGATGAACTTGCCTTACTTAAACTACATCAAGGAAATTGAGAAAATCCTGGAAGAGCCTGTGCCTTTACAAGTGAGTAGCTGGGATAAGGTTGGCATGGGGCCGGGAAGAGGTGGCAGGTGCTCAGGCCAACGGGACTCACGAGATCTCTCTCTCTCTCTCTCTGCTTCCACAGAATGACTTGAACTCACATGAGAAATTCGTCCTGAGGGTAAGAGCTCAGCCCTGCACTTGGGTGCACCTGGGTCCCAATCCACCTCCTGCCTGGGTGACCTCAGACATGTCACACCACTTTGCCTACCCTCAGTTTTTCACCTGTGAATAGGGTGAATCGCAGCTCCCTCAGTGGGGTTTCCGTGAGAGTTAAATGGCACAATGTGCTTATCCAGCAGGTTTCCCAGCCAGACCTATCACATGAAAATGTTTTGTTTTAATTATAAATGAAAAGGCAGCTCTAGATGAACAATTCCGAAGGCCTTAAGTTCAGTTTTGGGGGGCCAATCTCTGGACTGGCAGACTGAAATTTCCCCACGAACATGCCTGCTTCCTTCCTTCCCCTTAAAAAACTGAGTTATGTTTTTCACCTTGACTAACCCTGGGCATTATCATGGGGAATTATCTCATCTTGTGTGCACGGCATTTCTTGGGTCAAACAAGAGGTTGAATCTTGAGTTCAGCGGCTGTCTGTATTCTCCCTCTTAGGCACTCACAGTTCACCTGCCTCACCCAACTCCATGCTGGGATCCCTGGGATTTTCTTCTCCACTCCTAGGAGCCCTTAATTCAGACAAGGCATTAGCCCTTTAGCTGCAAGAATGTCCCTTGGCTAGCCCTTGTCTTTGGTAGAGTTTCTTTTGAAAACTGTTTTTCCCCTAAGTGCAGAAGGACCCACCTAGGCCCTTCAGGCAGCGCGTGGAGCCAGGGGCCACAGTGGGAGAGAGTAGGCCTTGCCTGGGTTGCGTCTATTCCTTTAGGCCTGTGCCCTTTGGAGCCATAACTTGGGCAAGAAGGGGATGAGAAGGGGCTTGTCCAAGGATGTCCCTGAAAGAATTCTTGGAAAACTGGGGGGATGACTTCAACCTGGCCACGGGAAGGACATGCCCCAACTTTCCCCTCTTACATGTATTCTTTGTCCCCTTAGAACGAAATCTTTCTGAAGGTAAACCTGGATACATTCTTGGAGGCTGCCAAAAATTTGACTGACAGGAGAAAGAAAATTGGGGAAAATCTTGAGGTGTGTGAAGCTGTCAGGGACTTTGGGATCTCTGCCTTGGCCCGTCCTTCCCCTGGGGAAGAGGACAGCGGGCCTGCTCCTTTTCGAGGTGAGGCTGACTGTCTGCTTTGGTCTCTTCCCACAGAAATTCAAGGCAGTGCTACCTAACGCCACGTCCACGGTAAGCTGCCCCCTGAGCTGCCCCTGTGGGTGGTGCTGTCAGCCATGACCTGATGACCCCCAGCCTGTCTTCTGCCTTCCCATCCAGCCTCATCTAACATCACCTTTCTGGTTTCTTCACAGAAACATCAAATCTATATCATGGAGGGTAACTGGGATGATTTCCGGAGGAAATTGAAAGCATATATGCAGGCCTTAAAGCGTTTTATTGGTTTCTAGAATGTTCGGTTCCACATTCAGATCCCTCTCTGCACCTTCTCACCGCGGAGCCTTGGGCCATTAGAAGCAGTAAAACTTCTGAAGACTGTGAGACGTCTCTTACACAGCCTAGGACTGGGACGATTTCATTTTCTCCTGTGAAGTCAGATGAATTGTTAATTATCTAATTTCTGAAATGTGCACCCCCTGTTTGTTCTCATATTTATCCTATTGAGGTTATTTATTTATGTATGTATTTATTAATTACCTTGTGCAATGTGAAATATATTTATTTTAGCAGAAGAGCCAAGAGGGGGACTGGGGACATAATATGTTCATTTGTACCTCAGGTTTTGAACTAGTTTCTATGCATTTGTGAAAATAAACCACACTGCGAACAACTGCTTTGCTGCCAGGTCTCAGTCTGACTCAGGTCTTAGTAACTCTCTGGCCTGATGCTTTAGCCACCTTCCCCACCCTCGCCCTGCCCCACCCCTCAGAATCACTGCCACCAGATGAGGCCCAGAACCCACACCCTGGTAAATTGTGTCTTCTTGGGAAGCCAGATTTAGAAAACGTAAATCTGACCAGGTTGGTCTGATTCTTAATTTTCCCATCCTCAGGGTCTGTGGACCTTGTCCTGATCCTCAGGAAAACACGGAAGGCCTGCTTCCGTACGAGCTTTCCTTCCCTTACTCCACAGCTACCCGTTCCCTCCACGCTCCAGCCCACAGAAGCACTGTGGCTTCCTAAATGAACCACACACCTGTTTCCTACCCACACTGTCACCTCTGCCTTGCACGCCCTGATCCCGACTCGGCATGGCCGGTTCCTACCTCAGAGACCAACTCGAACACTGCCTGCCTCTGGGCTGTCCACTACTCAGGTTGGATAGCACTACATTTCTTCCGTGACGTGAAATTCATGCATTCAGCAGACATTGGCTGAGCACCTGTATGTCAGGCCCTGTGCTGGACCCTGGGGATACGGCAGTAAAACTAAACAGATGGAAGGGGTCCAGAGAGGTTGCTTTCGATTGAGTGGTCTGGAAAGGCCTTTCTGAGGAGGTGACATAAATGTTGAAACCTGAAAGACAAGAAAGTGCCAGCCATGTGGCAATAAGGGAGAGTAGAGCTCTGGACAGAGGGAACAACAGCTGGTGCAAAGATCCAGAGACTGAGATAGGCTGAGAGCATTCATGGAGCAAAGGAAGACCCGTGGCAGGAGGGAACTCTGGGAGGGAGCCCACAACTCTCCCTCAGCCTCTCTCCCTTCCCCTCTCAGCTCCCAGCCCTGTCAGTGATGCTGACTGCAGGAGGTGGGCAGGTCTGACACAGACCTGGAGTGGGACTGTCAGAGGGTGAGGGAGAGATCAGCATAGGCAGGATCCGTGGCAGGAATGGGGGTGATGGTGGAGGTAACATGGGAGGCGCATGGGCCTTCTCAGATGTTCTGGGGCTCCCATTTCAGTAGTCCAGTCTGCTCCAGGTTGGACTGGGATGAACATGGACCTGGCCCACTAAGGCCCACCCCAAACCTCAGACCCCACCTCGGGCCAGCACAACCTGGCCCAAGCATAGCCCTGAACTGGGGCCTGGAACCAAGTGGTGTTCCATCCCCAGGCAGGTTGGGGCATCTCTACATCATGCTCAGCCACTTGTTGGGAGAGGGCTGATGACTCCCTGACTCATTGGGTGCTCACATCTCCCGCTTCAGGCCGGTTTATGTCTCTTCTCAGAGCCTGCACAGACAGTCCTTGAAGCCAGGTTTATAAGCCCAGTAGCCACAAGGGGGCGGCAAAGCCACATGGTCCGAAGGATGGCCACCTGAAGGCAGTGAACCACAGGGGGGCATAGGAGAGTCAAGTTCCCTCCTCTCACTTGCAAGGAGTCTCCAGCAGAGAGCTGGATTGCCTCAACCAGGAATTTTATTTTAGTTGTAAAAATATTATAATTTTTCCTTGCGAGGGAAATATGAGAGACCATATATGCTCTTTAACTGCAAAATTTGGAAATACAGAAAAATAGAGCAAAGAGAAATTGCCTGGAAAGCAAATGCCTAAGGAGAGGAGAAAACTGAGAGGCATGGCCAGCCTCATGCCACTGTGTGAATCATCCCGCTCCAGGAAGGGGCTCTGCCCTCTCACCCTGGCCTCAAATCCACACTGGACTCAGTTCAGCAAGTGCCTTGAGGACCTTCTGTGGTTTGCCCAGGCTGGGGCACTCCTGGCCTGTCCAGTTGGCCCAGCACAGTGTGGTGGTGGCTCTTATGGACAAGGCGATGGCTGGAGGTTGTGGATCTTGTCAGAGGTGCTCCCTACAGGAGGTGAGGTGCAGGAGCTTGAGAAAGGAATAGGAATCCATCAGACAGAGAGAGGTGCAGAGAAGGGTGCCAGGCAGATGGCACTGGGGGGAGGGTGTGGACGTCTGAGAGTTCTGGGTTAGCGGGGGGCAGAGGAGAGTCTTAGGCAGTTTATAAGGCCAGAGTGTGGGTCCTAGGTTGTCAGGTGGAGCAGCCCCCCAGAGCTCCCCAGGTCACTGCCTTTGCCCCTGGAACCAGGCCACGCTTTGGATTTCAGCGTGGTTCCTTCCCCCATTCCTCCCTCGCTGATCCTGCCTGGCCACGGTGGAAACAGCAAGACCGGACAGCCATGGCCTGCGGAGTGGTGGGTGCACCGCGGGGTGGAGGTGGGATGGGGCCAGATCGGGGATGGGATGGCTGCGCTGAAAGCTGACAGGAGGAGCCAGGGCAGAGGGAGAGAGATGCTGGAGGAAAGAGGGGCCAGCTGAGTAGAAGGGGAGCCCTGGGCCCACAGTGAGAGTGTGAGAGGGGCGGAGTTAATGTGGCATAGAGTGGAGGGTTGTGCGACTTGTCACCAGGGGCCAGGGCCTCAGTTTCCCCCTTGGAAATCTCAGGTTAGGCTAACGGAGGTGAAGATGAATCAGGCAAAGTTGCTGCTGCTCTGCTGCACTGAGCAGAGACTCAGGGAATCCACTTGATGGCCCGATGAAGTCTATTGTCACCTCCACTTTACATACAGAGAGACAGGCACAAAGAAACAAAGAAAATCCAGAGACTCTGCATCCTTAGCCACAGTGCTTTGGCCAGTGCCCACTGAGGCACAGGAGCCTTTTCATTCTGGCCCAGGACCCACCTGGTGCCTCTAGACTGGACCCAGGCCTCCAGAGGACCTGCTAGCTCCACAGACTCCTGATTCCAGCCCCAGGGACAAGCAGCCCGGCCTCGGTGCCTCGGCTCCGTCCTCCACTCACCAAACCACCGTATGTTCATTGTCAAAGTCCTCTACATGCCAGCTGTCCTTCCTCCCACCCAGCATGGTCCCCATACACACACACTGGGGCTTAGAGCCACAGCTTGGCACCTGCGTTCCTGTCCATGTGTGCCCCATCCCACACGGCATGGGGTTCTGAGAGAGGGATCACGGGCTCGCAGCCATCACCTGACTTGCCTACAGTCAGGGCCTCCTCCCTTCCACCCACCTCCTCAAAGGCCCCAGGCTCGACTTCCACCCCCAGCCTTGGCTCATGCTGTGACGCCTCTATTTCCCTCCCATGAGCACTCCTCCCCCCTCAGGGTCCATGGAATCCTAGTCTGAGGCCTCTCACTCCTGCAGACAGGTGCCCTCTACCCTGGCTGCCCCTGGGATTCTTTTAGCCGACACTGGGGAGTGCTTGGCTCTGCCCTGCCCGGGAGGGCACATGGGCTGTGCCAGAAACCACGCAGGTGCAGCCAAGAACAGCAGACTGTGACAATGAACATGTGCTCTGAGGGGGCTGTGTCCGGGGGCATGGGGAGGGAGGCCCCATGGAGGGAGAGAGAAGGCATGGTCAGGGCAGGTTCGAGGGACAGTCAGAGCTCAGAGTTGTAGGAGCACCTGGCAGTGTGGAGTGGGCTGCTGGGCTATGGACTCAGAACACAGGGAGTGAGAGCCCACACCGGGCGGTGGTGGTGGGTGTTCTTTCCTCCTCGTTCCACAGACTCTGCCTTGATCCCTGTGGGCCAGGCTGAGCCCTCGTGAGCTTGAGTAATGAAACAATGGACAGCCAATGCTGCCCCTCAGAAGGACTGTGAATCTTGGATCAGGGCCCATCCGCATCCGTGGGCAACTCCTTGCTCTCCTCAGGCTCAGGGCTGGACTCAATGGCACTAGTTTATAAGCCTGGGACTACCTCCTTCCAGCCAGGATGGGAGTCCCCTGGCTTGGTATTCTTAGTTGGCTCTTTCCAGGAAAATCCACGTGACTGAGTCATTTCCCAGTCAGTCGACCTTAGCTCATCCAGGCTGCCCAACAGGGTTTGCCTCCTGGGGTTGGGTGTGGGAGGTGTTGAGGCACTGGGGAGGGGTCGTCACAGGCAGCCCCCATCAGGGAAGCCTAAATCCACCCTCACTTCCAGGGCATGAGAAGGTTCTGGAGACTGATCCAGACCCCAGCAATCTCTTTCCTTCCTTCCTTCCTTCCTTCCTTCCTTCCTTCCTTCCTTCCTTCCTTCCTTCCTTCCTTCCTTCCTTCCTTCCTCCTCACCTGAATATATTGTTCCATTAATTTTTAGATAGAGTGGAAGGGATGAAGGGATAGAGAGAGAGAAACATTGATGTGAGAGAGACACATCAATTGGTTGCCTCCTGCACAATCCCAACTGGGGCTGGAGATCTAACCCACAACTGAGGTATGTGCCCTTGACTGGGAATCGAACCCGTGGCTCTTTGGTTTATCAGCTGACACTCGAACTGCTGAGCCAAACCAGCTAGAGCCACTCTCCTTTCTTATGGAAGGGAGACTGAGGCTGGGGTGGGTGGGTACAGTACCCAGTCAGTCAAAACAGAAAAGTCCCCTCCATGTGTCCCAGCACTCCCCAACAACTTACAAGGCCACCTCCGTGTGGAGATGAGAACACTGGAGCTCAAAGGTGGGAGTCACAGCCCCAGGTTCTGCAATGAGGAGTGGCCAAGCTTGAAGGCAGGCCTATCAGCCCCAACCCTGCATTCATCACAAAGGGAGATGCTGTGCCCCCAGGAGGCTACGCAGGGGACTGGGCACACCCCTACTGGGACAAGGCTGAGAGAGTGGGAATGAGTGTGTGTTAGGGAGAGAAAGTTATGAGTTGGTTGTCCTAGGGCTGGAAGGAGAAATTCCCAAGGGCCCCCTCCAGCCATTCAGAGACACGTTGTGGACCACCTCCCCCAGCAAACCCCTTTATCAGTCCTGCTGGGCCCTCAGCCTAAGTGGTAAGGGGTGACTGTCACCTCTGGAGGGGCTGGGGGCCCCTGGGGGAGATGCTGGAAGAAGGTGGGGCTCTGTCCAGAGGCAGAGGTACCTAACAGGGAGCAGAGGCAGCCTCTAGGCTCAAGGCCGCAGCCCTCTGAGACCCGAGGAACCAGAAGCCAGAGATGTGCCTACAGAACAGGGCCCGGGGGAGGCCAAGGGATCCTGGCACTTCAGAAAGTCCTGAAGGAAGCTCGTTCCAGAACCCCCGTCCTGCCCAGAATGTAACCCCCACATCTGCAACCTTAATCCTGGCCCATCCGCTCCAGAGGGAGCCAGGTGTAGGAGCTGAGCATGGGTCCCAGGCTCTCACCCAGCACCTTGGCCTGGACTCCGGTCTGACAGAGCGGGTGGGGGGGCACCCTCAAGATTTTGGGTTGTAAAGGCTTCTGGTCTAATGATTTCTCCCCCTTTAATTTTTTATGCAGCCCTCAATAGCAGACAAAGGTAGTGGCCCTTCTGGGTACCCGATGACAGTTATAGCTGGGGATGAGGGCAAGGTACAGAGACTCACAGGTGGGGGATGCATTTCCAGCCATGGAGGGAGTACTCGGGGAGGCAGGTGGGAGGCACAGGGCCTTGTGGTAGGCAGGCCTGCACCCATCCATGGGGTGTCATTGACTTGAGTGCAGTTGCTGGATTCTGGGAAAACAGCAAGGAAGCCCTAAGAACCAAGGAATAAAGTGAAAAAGGAGTACTTATCACCCTTGGCTCGGCTTTAAAAGTTGGCATCTCGGGGCGCTACCCAAGGCCTGAATCGTGTCCAGCCCTTTGGTGTTGGGAACTTGCTCTTCATCAATGACTTCCAAATGCCTGGGCCCTGACCTCTCCCTGGCCTCTGGGCCCATGTCCCACATCTGACAGAATCTTCCTGGAGGTCCTGGCTTCCCAAACTTGCCACATCCAGTCCAGTTTGGACTGACTTCCCCAACCTTCCTGCCACTTTGGGCCTCCCCCCTCGCAGCAAATGGCCTCACGGCCAGAGACTCCTTACACACGTCCTGCCTCGAGCCCACATCACCACCGCGTTCCCTCATGGCCTTCTCTGAACTTTGTTTACTCCATGACCACCCCATCCTGACTGTTCATTCTAGGTGCACATCTTGTTTGGTGTCCTTAACACCGTGCATATGAGTCGGGGCCTTGTCCTCCCTGTCCCCTATCTAAAGTGACCACCAGATGTGAGCTCTGAATGCAGGGTGCTGCGAGGTGGGACATACGTGGCGGGCCTTCCTGAAGGCTTGGCTATGTGGATGCATGGTTGGGAGTAAACCAGCCTCAGATCCTCCCAGACCAGTCAGGACTCACCAGTCCCAGGATCTGGGGACACTCAGTGGGCAGGACCAGAACTGGGGTTTGGCCTTATAGCCTGGCCTTTTGAAGTTGCACCTCTGGGGACCTGGACAGAGGAGATGCGGGAGGGGTCAGTCTGGAGCTGCTAGTATGAAGGCCAAATATGTTGCTTCATGTGTCTTGAGTGGCCTGGAGTGACCTGAGCCCCTCAGAGAAAGATGAGCCACTCATGGTGCTGTCCCTGCACTGGGATCTCATAAGAGTGATGAGGAACCCATGAGACCCAAATCTGACTGGAGGCGGGCTCTCCACCTCACCATGTCTAGAAAGGTACTATCTGGGGCGGGGGCTGGGGCTGGGCGAGGGGCAGCTGCCCCTGGACATTTCAGCAAGGCTGAGTCCTCTACCCGGTTTTGGCTTCAGACACCTCCCAACGTGGTGGTGAGAGGAGAGGAAAGGTCGAAGCACTGCCTCCGCCTTGGGAGGATTCCCCGCAAAGTTTCCTGGGACAGCCAAAAGTTTCCTCTGTGAGGCAATAATAATTAAACCCATTGTACAGATGAGGAAGTAGAGGATCAGGGAGGAGAAATTTTTTTAGGCTACTCAGGAATCAGTAGTGGAGAACCCAAGCCTGAGACAGAGAGAAGCCTGGGTAGCCCGCTCTGCTCTGGAAATTCTTCCTTTGGCCTCCAGGCTTCCTGGGGACAGTTACAGGCCACCGAGATTCCCTGCCAACACCTGGAGGAGTCTCCCTTTACAGCTGGACTGAGGGGGATTTCCCTCTGCCAGTCTAGCCAGGTCACTGGCACTTCCTGGCTTTCTGATCCCTGAGAGAGTAGAAGACATTGGGGAGGCAGGGATGGATGTGGGCTCAGGTACTCTCTCTTCATCACTGACTGCGTGGACTGGGTGGGCCACCAGTGCAAGAGCCCCCAGCAAAGGGTGGAAGGCTCCGGAAGAGTGAGGTCAGCTAGATGCCTGTGCAGATGTCCTGCGGGATGTGAGGCCCATTTCCTTCCCCCTTGTGATACCACTCTTTGTGATAAGGATCCTGGGGTGGCCACAAGACCCTGTTTTCTCTAGAGCCCGTGGGAGGGAAATTCACGGGAAACCCTTTCCATAGGTTTCCTTTTGGTCCTGTGGAAAGGGGGCCAAAGAGGAGTCATACTGCCCATCACGGTCCTGTCCCCACCCTCCCACAGTCCCCCGGGGCCCCTGAGTCAGCATACCCGCTAGATGATATCACTGCCACTTTCCATGCGGTGCAATCTAGGAATGCCTGCCCCTGTCATGGCCTCAGCCCTGATGTCATGTTTCCAGAAGAAAGATGTGTGGCTGCCCACGAACCTCATCGCCAAACCCATAGATTCTGTCCTTAATGTGCTGACTTCGGCGCCCGTTGAGCACGCTATTGGCACAGATCGCTGCTGTGGCTCCTGTGCCCCTCCTGTCCTGTCTCCCAGGGCCTTGGCCACTGGCAGCCTTTTGACCAGCTATCAGGCCCCTGCTCCTGTCCTACCTTCAGTCAGCCCTTCTTCCGAACAACCCTCTGTGGTCTTGTTGGTCACTTGGACACAGACTGTTCACAGGTCTGTTCTTGCACATGCAGCCTCTGAGTTGCTGGACCTTTTGTGGGCTGTTGGACAGTAGTTCTAGCTCGTCTTACTATATCCAGAGGCACCCTTTTGGTTAATCTTGCTCCTCCATTGATAGAGTCACAAAGTCCATAAAGGCAGGACCCTGTCTGTTTTCTACCATTCTTGGGTTCTTCTCCCCTGCTGGGAACATAGTAAGTGCTCAGTGAATACTAAATGAATGAATCCGTTACATCACCAAGTCCTGTCAAATTCTACCTTCTAAACCTCTCTGAAGCCTGCTTCGTCTTAACCACACATGTTCCCCAACCCTCTGCCTCTCTGTGCCTTGAGTGCCCGCTCCCCCTCCCACAACCCGACTTGCCCACCTACTCTACTTGCCCTTTGAGGATGGGCTGGGAGGCAGCATCTCCCAGGAAGCATTCTTGTGCCTGTAAACCCCCAAACCGGAAGAAGTGGTTTCCTTGGGATCCCTCAGCTCTGAACTCCCCCCATCCCAGCCTGTACCACACAGTGGGAGTGTCCACTGCTGCCTGTTCACCCCACCAGGCAGAGTCTCCAGGGCCAGATGTGAGGGACAGTGGGAAGTCCCCTTTCCCTCCTTCCCAGAACAGGGCCTGGTGCTGATTGGAGAAGTTTGTTGACTAACTATCAACTCATTTCCTGGAGAAAAGCGACCTTCCACCTCAGGGGGCCAGTTCTCTGCCTCCCTGGCCACTAGCTTAGTCGCTGACCGTGACCCCTACACCCACCACCGAGCCTCTAGGGCACTGTCAGACAAAGACCTCCGCTCTGTGTGGCATCGAGTGTCCTTGAGTGTCCTTGTGCCCCCTGACAGCTCCTTGGAAAGGGCCAAGCACAGTCCCATAGGAGGAAGGGCCAAGGCCTGGACATGCCATACGCTCACCCCCAACATGGCCTCTGGGAGTGTTCTGTCAGGCTCAGAAGGCAGGGCTGACCTCATGGTGTGCCCCAGATCCTGGTGGGAACCCCAGTGGGGTCAGCAGGACTAAGGCCTGGCTCTCCTGTGCAAGGGCAGCAGGGAAACTTTCCAGGGCTGGGGGCCTAGGCCACAGTACTCAGACCATGAGTTCTACCTGCTGTCGACGGCTGTTCACTGAGCCCAGCGGAATGCCCTGGCCTGTATCTGACCCCGTCAGGCTTGGCCAAATAAGCCTCTGGGGCCCAGAAACATCACACTCAGTGTGGGGAGCTTCACCCATATCAGAGTGGCACCTGCAGAGGCATGAGGGCTCACCCAGATGACCTCATGTCAAATATGCACCCTCAATGCACTGTACGTACAGGAACGTCCAACCACATGGGCACACAGATACTCAGAAGCGTATCCATGTGGAAGGACCCACACCCTGAGGCCATGAAACTCAGCATGGGTAGCAAATACAAGTGGGTGCTGTCCTGGGCGGTTGGGGGATGGGTGGAAAAGGTGAAGGGGAATAAGAAGTACAAATTTCCAGTTATAAAGTAAGCCATGGGATGTAATATACAGCATAGGGAACATAGTCAATAATATTGTAATCATTTCAGAAGGTGCCAGATAGGTACTAGACTTAGTGTGGTGATCACATCATAGGGCGTATAAATGTCCAATCACTATATATTGCACCTCTGAAACTAATACAATATTATATGCCAACTATACTTTAATTAAAAAAAAACTAACCTCGTGCTCTCCTCTCCAAACTCCATTGTGAAAATCAAACACTCGTCAGCCCCTCAAGAGCCTGTGGCTTTTCCAGAAGCAGTTCCTGTTCCACAGAGAAGCGCCCGGAGCTGGAGGTGGGCTGGGGCAGGGGTCATGTAGGAAATTAAGCCTGGGAAACCTTGTCAGAGAGGACACTCTTCCCTATACCTGGTGTGGATGCAGCCACAACCCGCAACCAGCTCCGGAAGCTCCTGGTGCCTGCCGGGGACAGTAGGTAGGAGGGTCCTGCCCACCTTACAGGGGTAGTCAGCCCTGCAGAGGGAGGTGAGGCTCACAGAGCTCAGAGGGAAGAGTCACTCAGCCAGGTGGTGCTGGAGTCAGGACTTGTACTGTACTCAGGGTCCCACCCCAGCTGAGAGCCCCGACTCACTCTGCAGCTTGGGGGTTGGATATGGCTGTGTAAACCAAGACTAGCTTTGGATGGGTCTCACCATGAAGGAACACTCTGCAATCTCGCTGGGCGGACAGGCACATGGTTGTCATTTCCTCTGCTCACAGGGTCTGTAGGGAAAAGGATCCTGGCTGAGCAGAGCTTGTCAACTGTGCTGGGTCCTTGGCTGGAGCTGAGGTGAGCTATTGCAGGACTATGCCATTTGGTTGGAATCTGCCTAGGTGGACAGTGGGGCAGTGACAGTCCTTCTTACCCTCAAATCTCTCACTGTGGCCAGAGGAGAGGGCTCTAGGGGAGAAGAAAGGGCTGAGGTTGGAATGGACACCAGGGTGGGTGCAGCCAGCCCAAAGGCCTCTTGGGATAACAGGCACAATGGGGAGCCTGGGAGCAGGAGCTCAATCTAGTGTCTCCCAGATACTGCTCTGGCCACTCTGGGCCGAGAAGTCTAAGCTGTGCCTGGAGGCCCCTCAGAGGGAGGGGAGCCTCAGCGGGCTATTAGACTGCCTCGGGTGGGCTAGAGCATTCTCAAGGAGGCAGGCAGGTGGGCTGCCAGTTCTTGGAAGGGCTTATTAATGAAAACCCCTGATGGTGACCATCTGGGGGAAAGGCTCACCTTTCCCATGTGTAGCTGATAAGGGCTAGGAGATTCCACAGTTCAGGTAGTTCCCCCACCTCCCTGGCGTTTTGTGGTCACCATTAATCATTTCCTCTAACTGTGTATATAAGAGCTCTTTTGCCAGTGAGCCCAGTATTCAGAGAGAAAGGCTAAAGTCCTCAGGAGGATGTGGCTGCAGAACCTGCTTCTCCTGAGCACTGTGGTTTACAGCATCCCTGCACCCACCCGCCCAGCCAGCCCTGTCACCCAGCCCTTTCTACGCGTGGAAGCCATTAAGGAAGCCCTGACCCTTCTGCAACAGTGTAATGACACTGCTGCTGCGATGGTGAGTGAGGGAAGGAGCGAGGCTTGTGCCTGGCACTCGCTGGCCCACCCCCTGGCCTGGACGAGCCCTGCCTGTCAGCTTCATAACACTGTGTTTTCCTTTTCTATAGACTGAAACAGTAGAAGTCGTCTCTGAAATGTTTGACCCCAAGGTAAGATGCTTTTCTCTGACACACCTTCCCAGAGACCTCTGCCTTTGGGAGGGGGGCTCCCTTTTAGATGGATTCTCACAAGGTTGTCCACTTCCTCTCCAGTCAGCTGGCTGCCAGAGGAGGTGTGCTCAGAGGCCACTGGCCTTGCCCCTGTGGCAGTCATGCAAGCTTCCTTATTATCTGAGCAGCCATGGACAGACCTAGCATTCAAGGGACCAGGGGTCACCAGGGACAGGTGGGTAAGCAGGGGAGAGTCATGAAGCAGGGGCTGTGGGCTTGGGGCACTCACTGTGATGCTGAAGAAGCAGCACAGACAGGTTCAGGCAATACCCTGTCCCCTTCTCCCTGAATGGTAGGGGGATAGTGATCTCCTTTCTTAGGGGCTGGGACCCTCTTGAGATACCAGGACAAGGGAGTATGGCTGTGCTGGCTGAGGGTAGCCTGAGCTGAGTGGTGAGGTATAGTCAGATTAGTGCCTGCAGTGGACAGGGGACAGGGGACAGGGCAGTATGCGTGACTGGACCTGCCTGAGACTAGTTGGGAATCAGTGTGTGCCCCTCCCAGGCTCTACTCTTGGGAAACAGGGAGGAAAACACGAAGTGGTGGGGAGGACACCTGGCCACTGCTTACCAAGGAATATGAACATTTCCTATAGGAGCCGACATGCCTGCAGACCCGCCTGGAGCTGTACATGAAGGGCCTGCGGGGCAACCTCACCAGGCTCAACGGCTCCTTGACCTTGATTGCCAGCCACTACAGGCAGCACTGCCCCCCCACCCTGGTGAGTGACGTGTCAGGTCCCCAAGCGGGAAGGTCTTGGTCTAGGAGGGTGGAAGAGACCTTTGTGTGTGCCTGGTCAGGACACTAAAGGGATTCTCCGTTAACAGATTTGTGTGATTAGAGCAGCCCAGCCTATTTCAGGCTCAAGGAGTTAAAGCCTGGAGCTCCGGAGCCGACAGCGCCCCCTAGTGGTAGCTGCTCTGTCTTGTTGTTCTTATCAATGAGGTCAGAGGAGGCAAACCCAAGGAAACTCAGAGCTGGCTAAAGACACAGAGGAATTTCTGGAGCCCAAGTGTCACCTCCTGACAGGACCTTCCCCTGGGCCCTTGTGGGGTTCCTGGATTGCATGGGAGCAAGGAGGGAAGCACACCCGGAATGTACAAAGCCCAAACACTCCTTTCCTGTGGGAACGGAATGATGTCTGTGGCCTTGATTCCTGACCTTTCTGGGCTTTGGGAGACAATCTCAGCCAAGCTGCTCTGTCCTGGCCTGGGGCCAAAGAACCAGTGGCCCAAATGCCCAGCAGACCAACCTCAGGCACTTTGTCAGGTTCCTGGCCCTAGCTGCCATTGGCAGAGCTGTATACCCTTTGGGTGACACACGGGTGGCAACATATTACCTGACCCAGGTCAGTGGGCAGGCCCCAGACGGGCCTTCTGACCTCTGAGTTTCAAGAGACACATGAACACGCTGGTGCTCCCCCCACATTACCCCCTTATGCCTGGACTCAAGTTTTCTTTCTTTTTTTTCTTTAAGGAAACTTCCTGTGAAACCCAGAATATCACTTTCAAAAATTTCAAAGAGAACCTGAATGAATTTCTACTTATAATCCCCTCTGAATGCTGGAAGCCAGTCCAGAAGTGAGACGGGCCAGTACGGGGCCAGCCCTGGGAGCTCAACTCCAGATCGCTGCCCTCCCATCCCCAAGGAACCAAGACTCAGGATCTTCCCCTTGGAGGGACCAACGGATGGGCCAGGGACGTGGGGCCACGGACTTGTTCTGAGCCACGTTGACTCTGATTTGGGTGTGGTAGGGGAGTGGAAGGTTTTTACACTGGCAGGGACAATTAATATTTATTTATGTATTTATGTATTTTAATATTTATTTATTTATTTAAGCTCCTACTTCATATTTATTGAAGATATTTTACCATAATAATAAATTATTAAGAGTCTGTTCTTATTTGTGCAGTTTTGCAGTTTGTTTGCACCATGAGCACATGTAATGGTGCTGCCCTCCCCCTCCCTGCAGGGTAGGCAGGGGCGGGGCGGGGGCGGGGCGGCCTGCAGCCCTGTGGGCGGAGCAGAGGCAGAAGCTGGGGCAGAGGCCGCCTGAGTGCAGCACACGCACAGTGGGACGTGCTTACCAGGGTGCGCAGGGGCTGCCCTCCCAGAGAGAGGTTTCCAGGTTCACTTAGAAATCCAAGGAATCCAGTCAGTGGAAAACTTGCCCCGGAGAAGGGGCATCATCCTTCCTGGGCAGACCTGAGGGTTGATCGGGCAATCACCGACTGGACAGGCACCCCTAGTGTCAGGCAGAACACCTGTGCCCCTCAGAGGCCACACCCTGCCCCTCACGCAGGGCTTGAACACTCCTAAGGTGAACCAGCAGACAGTCTAGCTGTTCTGGGAAAAGAACCAAACCACAGGGATCAGAGCTCAGCATATTTACCAAACTTTCCCCCAAATGGGTGATCTTAATCTTTGAGAGTCAGAATGTTAAGTCATAATTTGTTGGTACATGGCTCTAGTGTGGCATTTTTCTGAGCAGGTTTTTGTTTTTACATGAAGTTTTGTATGCAGTCAGGTGCTTTCTCCTAAAATCCATGGCCTTCCGAATTAGAACATAGCAGCTCTCGTCTCTTCCCTTGCTTTGCCAGCAGGGCTGGAGGACTTGCGCCTGCACCTGTCTCCCTGTGTCCCTCCTGGTGGCTGTGAGAAAGTGCGTGTGTACCCTGGTGTCAGGTGGGAGTGGGGCCAGCCTGTTCCCTGACAGGTGGGCTTGGGGAAGCTGGCTTGGTGTAGCTTTAGCCCTTGTTGGCTCTCTCTCCACCCTACCTGCTCTCTCTGCTCTGGTCAACACCTGCAGATAGCCAAAGACCTGTCCCCAACACAGGCAGAAGGGTCATGACTCAAAATGTGAGTATGAATAAAATTTCTTGGGCCAAATCTGAATTTCAATGAAGACAAGAATCCATGCAGTGTGCTGTGGTCATATAAAATGCATGAAAAGCACATCTTGCCCAGCGATAAGGTCCTCTCTATCTTCCACGTAAGTCAGTGATGACTGATAAGAGATTTAGCATTTCCTTAGACCTACATATATAGGTACCCCTCTCCACAGAAATGCTGCCAAGCCAGGGCTCGGATCGGCTTGGAGCCACTCTTAAGTTATACCATGTACCTGTACGTGATCCTGGCCTGTGTGCTCTGGGACTTGCAAAGCCATTGCACCCCAATGAAGATAACCAGTGAGCCTCTCCACGACAATCACACAGAGGTCTGTGCTGAGATTCAGCAGGACCTTTCGGCTGACAATACTACATACAGCGTAAGTCTGGGTCTTCATCAAACATCACTTGGCTCTCAGTAGCCCTTTGTGTTTCTAATCAACTTTTCCTGCTTCCAGGATTATTTCAAAAGTCCCCAGAACACCAGCGAGGTAAGGAGCAGCTACCATATGGAACTTTCTGACCATATTTCAAAGGGATCACTTTAGTCGGCACCTAGACCAGAGATAAAAACAAAAGATGTTGGAGAGAGAAATCTGGGGAGAAGGCTGAGGGTCTGAGGATGGAGCCTCCAGCCCAGCCAACAGATGAAGCAATGGCCATGGGCTTTGCTGGGCTCTTTGATCACCATCCAGATAAGCCCTGGGCCTGGGAGAGACCAGACACCCACTGCACAGCTAGCAGTGTGGGAGACTCAAGGCAGGACCTGAATCTGAGCCCAGGGCTCCTCTGGCCAGGGTGACAAGGGGTGGATGAGGTTAGGGGTCAGCTGGTGCTCTGCTGTGCACCATCTCCATCCCGGTGCCCCAACCCTGTTTCAGGAGTCCTGCTATGGGGAATTTATAAAGGACTTTGCCTCCACCCTGAAGAAACTCATTGTGAAAGATGACAAGAATGATCGCCTACAAAAGGTTTATGACAACATGAAACAACTTATCCGAATCTGCACAAAGCTGCAGGTAAGTTACTGTTTGCTCTTGGGGAAACCTGAGGCATAATTTCTCTTGTTAGCACAGCCAGGGGCCCAGCAGGCAAAGGGCTTCTTGTGGCCCCCACTGGCCGCTTGTGAGGCCGCCGGCACTACTCTCCAATCCAAAAGAAGCCCACTCACTGATGGGCCGGGGCTTGAGGGAGTGGGCACTCGGCTTGTTCTGGAGGTTTGTCATGCTCTCTGCCAAGCCCCAAGTACAGGTCTGAGACCGGTCTGGTCATGGACTCATCCTGGGGCGAGGAAAGGGCCACTCAGTGTCAACCCTGGTTGGGTGGGATTTGGAGTGTGGTTTTGTGGGGAAATGACTGAGGTGCTCTCCTCTCCTTATCCACTGCTTGCATAGTCCCCTACTCGTCCTTGTTCCTGTCCCAGGCAGCCATGGGACCTGCCCACACCCTGCTGACTCTTTCCCCAAGGCCCTGGGCTCCACAATCACAAAATGGGCCCCGATGCCTTCCCTAAGATAGATGGGGAGGGCCTGCTAAGTTATCTGCTAGTGGATGGGGGGCCTACCTTGAGGCTCTTTTAGTTGGGAGAACAGAGTTCGCTTTTACTTTTTTCTGGTTAGTTGAGTTAATATATATATATTTATAATTTTTTTTTAGCCGACAGGATCACCCAAGAACTGTACTTCTGAGTTGACCGATTTCACACAGTTCAAGGAAGCCTTAAAGAGTGTTGTCCTGTATATAGAAGTATGGAAGTCATGTAAGAGGACTGAGGACAGCCTCTGAGACCCCCAGACCCTCTCACAAGAGCCTGGTACATGTGGTTACAGCTGCAGAAAATGGGATTGGAGGAGCGCCGAGAGCCGCCGACAACCGGGATGGGGTAGGGGTTTACTGACCCTGGGCTGGCGGATGAGGCGGAGGGTGGACAATGAGGAACTATGCCTGAAGAAATATTTCTATAACTGATGCATCAGCAACTGCTGCTCTAATAAAGATGGGGTGTGGAAATGCTGGTGAGTGAGAGTCATGATAGAGCACAGTCTCCCCAGGGCCTTGATAGACTGGAAGGGGCATGGGGCTGGGGTTGGTGACACCATAACTAGGCCTCCTGACCTGGGGGCCCAGAGGTCTCCCAGGGGGAGAGGACCCCAAGGGTGCATGGGAGCCCCACCCCATGGCCCCAGTGGTCACATAGTGGGAGCTCCATCAATATCTGTGCAGCTTGTTACTGCCCCCCACTTCTCTCTGTGTCCATCAGAACTCAAATCAGATCTTTGCCCTGACCCCCCTCCCAGACCCTCCTACCCAGCCTTAGTCAACACCCATCATCCACCCTGGATCGAAGGCCAAGACTCAAAATTCAAGGCCCTCCCTCCTTTGGTCTCTACTACAGCTCCTGGAGAGCTTGACATTTAATTCACCCACCGCCCTGAGGGCTCAGTGTGGCCACGTAAGAGTCAGCCCTGGTGAGTGGCTGGAGGGAACTGGGGCTTCCTGGCTACCCACAGAGGACTGAACACAGTGGGGGACCTGGACCCGGTGGGGGGGTCCACAAGGACCAGGACATCTCCAAACCCTCAGCTTCTTCTAGACCAGCAAAGAGCTACTGGGCTTCAAAGGAAAGCCCCTCCCCTGGCCTGCAAGGCCCCTCGCACATGCTCCAGAGTCTCCTTGGCACAACAGCCCCTCCCCGACTGCGAATGCCCTACCACCCCCAGAGCACAGGGCCCTGCCTGTGGTGAACCCACAGGCACTCGGGCCTGATGTGCTTCCACGTTCTGACCCTCTACCCTCAATTCTAACCCTAACCCTAATCATTTGAACGGTTTCTTGGAGGTGAGTGCAATTACCCCACAATCAAATAGCTTCCTAAAATTTACACCTCTCAGACTACGAGGTCTTTTACCAAACTAGGAAAGATAAAGGTTGATTGTTCTGGAATATGGTTAAGTATCAAGCTGTAACCACAACTTGGCCCAGGCCAGACCTGCAGAGAGTCTGCAGCGTCCACCCATTGACAGACCTTGCCACGCTGCACAGCTTCGGACCGTGCCTGCAGCTAGCGCGCAGGCCGCCACAGCCGGGCCCTCCCCTCCCTTGCCCTAGGATTCCTGGGCCACTTCACCTCTAGGGGCCACATGAGGCTGGAGGTCAGCAGGTGTGATGAAACAAAGTTGCCAAATTATCTCAGAACATGGGGGGAGGCCCTGTGACTCAGGTTTGGTGTCAGGGTTGGTATGGAGCTAAGGGTCAAGGGTGGTTTTAGCCCTGAGAAAGCCCACAGTCCAGTCCCCAGGGGCTGCGAGCTCCTGTCCCTTGGGCACATCACGCTGGTGCTCAGGGTTCTACATACCACTCCTCTGTGACAGGCAGCAGAATCTGGGGGTGCATGGCAGGATGGTTGCTGCAACACAATGGCAGGAAGACCCACCACTTCACTGACTCAGCCTCCTCTTAGCCTGAGGCACCTAATGGTAGAAGGCTGGAGGCTTGTGTATACATCCTTGTCATCTCGCTGCTGTGTTTGGGACAGCAGGGTGTTCAAGAGCCTTGCCTGCCACTAGCTTGCTGTGTGACCTTGGTCCTCAGTCTCTCGGCCAAAGTCCACAAAGGTGGGTGGACTCTAGCCCCAGAGGCCAGACCACAGCCTAGGTTCAGGGTCTTTGTCAAGAGGGCCTCAAGGCACCTGGC